CTACTGCAGGGTGTGAGTAGATAGCTGGATGAATGTCGCAGGGGTTTATGATGAAGGGAACCGGAAACGTGTACGTGTGTGTTAGTAGGGTGTTGATGGTAGGGTGTGGGTAGATAGCTGGATGGATGTCGGGGGTTCATGATCATGGCACCGGTAGGGTGCAAGTGTTTGTTAGTCGGGTGTTGATGGCAGGGTGTTGGTAGGTAGCTGGATGAATGTCAGGGGTTTATGATGATGGCTTCCTTAGGGTGCACGTGAGTAGTAGTGTAGGGACCGCACGATCCGGATTTTGGACGGGGAAGGGGACGGGGAAGGAAGAGGAAGGGGACGGGGAAGGACGAATACATTAATTATTCATCAAATATTAGCGTAAAACGACGGGGAGAGTATTGTTTCGGGTTACTATGACGACCAATTGACGTCATAAGACTATTGTTGACCGGCATGAACAAGTCTTTGTTTCGGTAATGGTGGGCCAGTGATGCGCACATCTATTGTTTATTAAATCATTACCATAAAACGACGGGGAGAGTATTGTTAGGCAAGCGTTTTCAACGAGCAGGACGAGCACATCAATTATTCATCAATAAGGAGACGACCACATCAATTGTTTATTAACCCATTATCATAAAATGACGAGCAGAGTGCTTTGTATGCGAGTTGCGTCACATTTTGGATGGGCCAGTGATGGGCACATTAATTGTTTTTTTGAGCAAATTCTTGATAATATCCTTCCATAATTCTTTAAAGAACAAACACCAAAGTTCAGCAATCAACTAAGCGTAAGTCTCATTTTATGAATTACAATTTAGTGACTATTGTATCCAACACAATACAATTAATGACTCATAAACACAAACAATAAGACTTAGAAGTTCTACCTAATTATTCAAATACGAAGGAAAACGTTGGAGTGTAAAATCTTTATTTATCATTTACTACAGTCATAACAATATGAAACATTTTCTTTATCGCTGCTTAAATGAAAAGTTTGGCTGGAAAAGCTGTATTTGTCCACAAGCGATGTACTGAGAAAGAGTAAAATACTTGTTATCAAACATTCAAATAAACAATTCTTCGATTGCACTTTACGTCATCGCGGCCATGTTGGTGTCATTTAACAAAAGATTTCTCATTAGCATCCATTGTTAACGGCACCACAATGGCCGCCATGCTTTTGTCTTTAAACTCTCTTGGGAATGCTTGCAACCCATCAATACCGACCTATACAAATCATCGAGTTTGAGTTTATTCATCACTTTATGATAACAAACAACAAATACAATCACCTCATTCTACTTCACCTTTGATATCATTAGCTTAGCTATCAGGCTATCAATAGCTTTCATACCTGGCTATCATTAGCTTAACAATTAGGCTATCAATAGCCTAGCTATCAGGCTATCGATAGCTTATCTTCTTGGCTATCTATAGCTTAGCTATCAGGCTATCAATAGCTTCCCTACCTGGCTATCAATAGCCTAGCTTCTTAGCTATCAATAGCTTAGCTATCAGGCTATCAATAGCTTCCCTACCTGTTTATCGATAGCTTAGCTATCAGGCTA